AGTTTTATCTAAGATCGACTCCTTAACACGGAAGGTATAAGGGCTTTCGACATCCTCTAGTCCTCATTCAGCTCACATGATACAATCACCGCCTATTTGTGACTTGTGTGGAGCGAACCATCCCAGTTTAAATTGTCCTCTGATTGCCAATAGTTCAGGACCCACCGAACAAGTGGCATATACTCAGAATTTTCAACGCCCAGGGTACAATCCATATTCGCAGACTTATAACCCAGGTTGGCGTAATCATCCCAACTTCTCTTATGGGAACAATCAGAATGTATTGAATCATAAACCACAACAGAAGAAGGAAAGTTGGGAAGAGGCCATTGCTAAACTAGCAAATCATCAATTGCAATACCAAGAGCGCAATGATGCCTCTTTGAAAAATCTGGAAAGGCAAGTGGGCCAGATTGCTAAACTTCTCTCTGAGTGGGCTCAAGGGGCTTTACCGAGTAACAATGAAACAAACCCTCGAGAGAATGTACAAGCTATTACTACCAGAAGTGGGTTGCAATTGCCTGATTCCATGGTAGTACTACCCACTGCACCCACTGCAGAAAAAGAGGTGGTACAAGAACCGAATGAAATTGCTGAACTAAGTAAAACTGGTGAACAAGAGTCGTCATCATCAAAGGCTCCAACACCAGTCAAAGCTTATGTACCACCTATTCCCTTCCTACAGAGGCTCCAAATGCATAAATTGGATGTACAATTTGGTAAATTTCTGGAGGTTTTCAAAAAGTTACACATTAATATCCCGTTTGCCGATGCTCTAGCTCAAATTTCTGGAGGTTTTCAAAAAGAGTGTAGCGCCATCCTTCAAAACAAGTTACCGCCAAAAATTAAAGATCCAGGAAGCTTTACTATTCCATGCGCCATTGGTGATCTGAATATTAGTAGAGCATTGTGTGATCTTGAAGCGAGTATTAATTTAATGGCACTGTCGATTTTTAGAAAGTTGGAATTGGGAGAAGCCAAGGCTACTACGGTATCCTTACAATTGGCTGATCGTTCAATTAAGTATCTTCGGGGTATCGTTGAGGATGTGTTAATGAAAGTTGACAAGTTCATCTTTCC